TGATCCCACAACCAGAAATCATAAGAATTAAGATCTGCAGAACAAGGTGCTATGACCACCTTGTTCTCCAGATCTTAGAAAATTCACACCTAATCACATTGTTCTTCGTGAAGTGTGTGCCACAGAAACTACTGTACACACTATCCAATATGTGGAAATGCCCTATCTTGCATAAAAATGGTTGCTGCAAGGCAATGTTGTTGCTGCTGCTGATTTTGTGGGAAAACAAAACTGCTCATCTCATGTTATCTCTAGACTGCAGGGTCTGCAGAACTAGCATCTTCAAAGAGTGGACCAAGAATAAATGTGAAGCTGCATCATATTGGTTGGTTGGTTTGTTTGAGTTTTTTGGCGCAAGGGCCATTTAAGCCATGCTGCGCCATTGCATCATATTGAGTTTGGGTGAATGCACCAGAGCCAGTTGGCATACATTTGGCTGCTGCAAAGTCTAAATGTAACAGTTACTGTTTCATAAGATAAAAACATACCTCATCATACCCCAAGATTTCCCATAGTCAAATATCATCTGCTTCATTTTAGCAAAGAACATCAATCATCAATAGTATACTGGATGTATTTACTAAAGATAAATACACTAAAACACCAAAAGAAAGAATTTTAATGTAAAAACAAATGTTTCCATCATATTAAATGGTAATTTTAAAGTTTTTTAAATGAATCAAAATTCTTTGTTGCTGGTTTTTAGTGTTTTAGTGTGTATCTTTAGCAAAGTTGTTCAATGCAAAGTTTAGATTCATCTTCTCATCACTGTCAAGCAACTGTTAGATATGTTGATCTTGTATGGAAAAAGAATATAGTACCTTCCCACAGCAGTATATGACAGTCACTTGTATGACACTGCACATACACTGCTGGAACCTGATATCACTATGTTGTCCATTAAGAATTTCTCAAAGACTGGCAATGTCTCCCACTACTTATGCAGTGGTAAATTTGTGGCATAATCCTCGTTGTATATGTAGACATCAGTTTCCTCAAATATGATGAGAATCATTCTTCTCAGAACACATGGTGTCAGAATCCTTGACACAATTTCTTGGCAACTGTGAGTCATTTTGAGAGTGCCAACACTCACAGAATTACCATTGTTTTCATAAAACAGCTTCACAAGAAAAATGCATTCCAGCAAAATCATGACCACCATAGATAATCTGTCATAACATGAATGGCATTCCAAATACCTATGAGCAATTTTATACCCCAGTAATCACCCTTAGCATATGGGCATAATATACATGGATTATGAACAATTTTCACACTGAACATGAAACCATGTGTTTTGATGTTCTCAATACCACAAGTCCCATAGTAGTGAGTTTTGAAACTAAATGTTTCCATACATTCTACTCCAACTTTTCAATATGAACCCAAAATATATAGTTTCCAAATAAAGCAGTCTGCTTTAATTTCTAAATTTTACCTCTGCAAAAACTTTTCCCCATTTGTTCTGAAATACCAACTTATAAAATTTAATTGAATTTGGACTTCTTACATACAAGGTCTGTTCAAAAAGTATCGGACCTTTGGTCGGCAAAAATAAATTTATTGACTTTGAGGTACAAAACCCTAATCCCCTTCAAAGTAGTCTCCTTGGTAATGTATATACTTCTCCCAGCGTTCCTGCCATTGCTGGAAACACTGCTGGAACGCATCTTTTGGAATGGTTTTTAGCCGGTCCGTCGCATTTCGCATGATGTCTTCTCTCGACTAAATTTGGGTTCCTTTTAGCGACATTTTCAGCTTGAGAAATAGCCAAAGGTCACACGGAGCCATGTGGAGAGAGTACGGAGCGTGACGAACCACAGGAGTATTGTGTTTGGCGACGAAAGCCCGAATCAGATGCGCAGAATGGGCGGATGCGTTATCAAGATGGAGCTACCAAGTTTTGATCGACCACAGATCTCATCATTTGCATCGCACTGTATCGGAAAGACGACGAAGGACCTCCTGGTAGTACTCCTTTGGGATGGTTTGGCCTTGTGGTGCGTACTCACGACACACCACCCCACGAGAGTCGAAAAAACTGTCAACATGACCTTTGATATTGCTGCGGACCTGCCGCGCTTTTTTTGGCCTCGAGGATCGTCCCCGAAAGCCTGCTGAATCTTGCGAATGGTTTACACTCGGGTATCGCCAAGGTTTTTGGCAAAATTTGATGTAATATCGCTGCTCACGTTGTTCAGTCATTTTCCAGCTTAGTGAAATCCGACGAGAGCGCACTACATGACCTCACTCATACGCCGATTGCCAACGACTGACGCTTTCTGCAGGCGGGAAAAAATTCAGGGCTGTGCATGACTGTCCCCTCCACAACTCCACCGAAGGAGGCCTCTCTCGCATCATTGGTTTACGCGGAAAAAAATAAGGTCCGATACTTTTTGAACAGACCTTGTATTCCTCCAGAGAGCACTGACTAAGAGTACTTTAATTATTATCAACCTGTAGAGAGCTACTGGTAATGCTATTATAATTATCCATGCAGTTTTTCCAATTCTGTTCACATTTTTAAAATCTGGAAATAAGATTCCTGAAGAACTAAGCATTCATGCACATAAAATGTCCAAATTAAATAAATTTCCAACTTTCTTAAGGGCTCAATTACATTTGGCATGTTTACTAGCTTCTTGCCAGCATGCAAACTTCTGAAGTGTGACTGAATTTACACTCACTCACTCACACACACACAAATTTCCAATTATACTGGACTAATAAATTTTCCTTCAGTTTACTTATGAATAATGCAACAGTAATGAAATTATTAGCTGAAATAATTATTTTATACACATTTCAAATTTTAGCCCAAACTATAGTGGGGAAAAAATCTCTGGTAGCAACTTCAAGTTAATTTTTTTTTAGCTAGTATGATACACTTTGTGCTGTTGAAACAAATTGTCAAGAAAATGAACTGTATTACTATTATTAATTCTTTAGTTATTTATGAACAATACCCACTATTATTGAATATAAAACATCCTGATTATGTAAATATTACAGACAAGATGTGTAGGTTTGCTTACAGTGGGGTGTAAGTGAGTATTCATCCCCTAGTCAAGGTGGATGAGCAACATGGTAAGTTAACCCTTTATTATAAACAATAAAAAGGAACTTACAAAAGTTCTCCTAAATCTCTTGAGAACTATCTCTAAATACAGATGTATAAGATTTTCCCTCAACATTCAGTTGAGAAGATGAAGCAGAAACACAGGCACAAAATAAAGTTTAGAACTCATGCTGACCTTAAGCAGTTGTGGACGAAGGGCACAGTAGAGAATATAGGTGAACAATTGGCAGAAAAAAAGCTCCATGTCCTTGATTCTGCTGTTTATATAGGGTTTTAGAAGATTAAAAGAGTTCTGATTGAGTCAGATCTTACTCCCTCACTTTCCAAGTGGTCACCCCTCTGTTTTTGGGTGTAACAAAACTCAGATTAGACATGAGAAAGGTTGATCGTCTGTGTACAATTTAACCCTTCTTGTCCACTTTTTTAAAAATATCTTTAATTAAACATAAAAAATACTTAAAACTGGGAAAAAAACGAAAGAAATGCGTTTATTTTGAAGAAAAAGATTCAAATTTTATTTTCCTTTGTCTCGTCTTTCTGTGAAATATAACACCGATGAGTCATTGTTTACACAGCTGGGTGACCTTGAACACAGCTGGAGTTGGATTTCCCAGGACATTCTCATACACGTCTTGGGAGGACAAGGGTTTAAAGTAGGGTGAATACTAGTTGGCCTTATATTTTTAAATATTTTTAAAAAATTAAAATTTTAATTGCGATTTCCGACCCCCCTAATCAATTAAATTTATATATAATAAAATCTATTTATTAAAAAAATTAAAAAACTATTGGAGGTAGTTTTTGACATCAGAAAGTAGCTTTAAATAACTTTACCAAAGTAAAATCCGTGCAATACAACTTTAGAACTATTAATTAAATTTGATAAAAAACTCCCATTAAAAAACAATTAAAAAACAATAAAGCGTAAATCGCGCATCATTAAAGGTTAACTAAAATTGCGATAAAATTTTTTCGCGCAGGCAAAAAATTTTGAAAAAATTTGGAGACCTAAAAAACATTCCAAAAATTCAAAAAAAAAAAAATTTTCTCGGGGGACCTTCACGCCCGGATTTTTGTAACGCTATGGGACTTCGAGTCAGACTCGAGCATGGGTTCGACCTCGTCCGAGAATTGTTTATTGAACCTTATCCCCTTTTCTCATATTTTACACTATTATATTTTGATGATATGACAATCAAGAATTTTAACAATCCTGTTATGACATTCTCCCATCTATAAATCTAAAATTTATTTATCTAAGACTCATTCTATTTTACCAATTTGTCGTATTTACAACTGCCAATGTCAGGTGCACCCTTCCGAGCAAGCACCTGTAAATTCTCATTGTCTACACTTGTCTTTTGACTTTCATCACTATTTTAACTCTTCTGGACATGTTTACAATATTCATTTGTTTGTTTTTTTTTTCTATCAACAATTTCTCCTCATTGTGACACTGTTTATTCCATACATTCTTTCATTAATAATTTCTGTTACTTTCACATTCTTTCAATTTTTGTACATGTTTTCTGGGTTTGGACCCAATCTGGAACCTTACAGATGTAGACATCTACTTGCTGCACATGATTACACAGAGCAAGTTTCCTAATCAGAAGTGCACTAAATTTGTCTAGTTTGTGAAATTGGAAGACAATATACCAATTTCACAAATTAAATAAATTTGTAAGTGACTATTAACAGAAGTAGCCCTGTCTTCAACTTTACTCATTTGGATAAATCATTAAGTGAATAAAACTGATAAGGATAAATTACAAGCCAAAGTAATTACATTGTGAGTTTAATAGCAGCAAGTAAATTAGTCAGTGAGTAGCTATTAAACTCATCCAATGTAATTGAGCCCTAACTAAAATATATTAAAACAACAATAATTAAAAAATGAATAATTTAAAAAACTTACTACAATGGGGGTGACAGGATTAGTACTGTACAGGCCATGAGCAAATACATACAACACACATATAAAAATACTGTACAGAAATGAGAGCACCCCAGTAGCTACAAAAAATTCTGCACTTCCAGAAAAATCAAATGGAAAATATTCTGTTGTAATTGTAATATTATCTAGTGAAGTTCCACACTGACTTGCTACTCGAAGTGCTGATGATGACATTCTGAAATTAAAAAAATTTTTTTTTAAATCATTTTTTAATTCTAAACTTAAAAATGTCTTATTAAAAATAGTAATAACTTGTAATTGTTGTAATTTTATGCAGATAACTTTCAGTGCCATATTTCTAGAACTGGATCAATATACACTTAAAAATAATTTAATGCAGTCATTCTCAAATTTTCACTCAATCCTGTCCAATAAAAACAAACTGAATGCTTTTTTTTTAGTTAATAATTAAACATAATTATATATTTTAGCCTCAAAATTGTTATAATTATAGTCTTGATATTGACTATAATTATTTACAAATTCTAGTCTAATCTATACTAATATTATAGAGAGGTAATGTTTGTATGTATGTATGTATGTTAGTTTGTATGCAGCAGGTAATCTCCGAAACTACTCATCCGATTTAAAAAATTTTTTTACCAATAGTTAGAATGGAACTTCAGGGTGGACATAGGCTGTATATTATTCCGTTAAACATGGGGGATGGACAGTTCTTTACGGTAAGCCTTCCTCGTAAGGCTTACCGTAAAGAACTCTGCTTCTATTTATACTATTTTAGATGCGGNAAAAGACTTCTCTAAGTAATATATAAATATGTGTTTGATAATTTTTACTTTTCCGGCTGTTATATACGACAGAGGGAAAGTGTAGTGCTCGGTCAAAAAATGACCCCTCCCAAATTTTACATTTTTGGACTCTGGGCACCTTGAAATTTTAAGATATACAAAAGATTCAAGGTTTTTTTTATATGTGTGGATGTTAGACTGTGTGTGGGGGCATGATTTTGTTCATCCTGTTTGAAGCCTAATAATTTCTGTGGTCAGAGTGGTCAGAATCGAAGTCAGATGGTTTAATACTGGAGTTAGTTATTAAGTGTCAACTTGGTTGAACTAAATTGTGTCCCATATACATTCTAACATCTTAGGCGAGAACATCTTAACGGGTTTTACTGTATTATTATAAAATGGCAAAAAAGCTTACTTTGAGAGTAGAGATGAGTTTTATTTTATTTTTTAAAATTTTGAACGCTAATATCGAGTAAAATATTCATTAAGAGATATGACACATGACCACTTTTAGGTCTTCACCCTGTCGACCTTTAATTAAGAACCAAAATTTAATAGTATTAATATCTCAAAACAGAAAATAAACAAATTAGACACCAACACACACATGCATGCAAATTTTTCCCCTTTATTGACTTTTTTGAGGTATTCAGGAGGTCTCCAAACGTGTAAATTTGCAAAAAAAAACTTGGAGGGTCAAATTTGACACGATTACAATACTTTTCCATTTTATATATATAAAAAGTGGTAAGTAAAAAGGAGTCTGAGTCGGCGGATTTTTTGACGACTCCGACTCCGGCTAAAACACCAAAACTCCACGACTCTGACTCCGACTCCACAGCCCTGCTTTCATTATAATTGCCATGCTTTTGCAATGCATCTCATGCACAAACTCTACCACCTGTTGGTCATTTTTTTCAAAACAACCAAATTTAGGCCCATGAAGCTATTTACATATCTGATGAAACTGTTTCATTAAGGACTTTATTTTCTTGAGTCGCATATGTTTTTCTCAGACACACTGAGCATAAGGACAACCATGCTATTGTTACTATCCACTTCCTTCTCAGCAACTACAACTAATTATATCAACACATCTGAATTATTTGCAGAGCATAAATTGTTTTATTTCTCAAACTTTTTCAACCTACTTAATATAGGCCATCCTCAGGCTTACGATAAACCGTTCCAAAATGGAACACATTGTTTTTCAAATATGTTTCATTTCAAGTTTAAAAGATTTTAATTTACAATAATTGTGTATATTAAATAAATCATAAAGTAAATATAATAATTAAATGCAGTAGAGCGTCGATTATCCGAATGCCGATCAACCAAAGCGTTCCAGTCAGACTGTGTCATGCTGAATTGAATGTTTTTGATACTAGATTAACTTCCAAAATATAATTTTTTTGTTTTTATATTTTTCAATATATTTATTTTGTTTGTACAAAATAAAGAAATAATTTTTAACTATACAATAGCCATGATTATTATTTTAAAAAATTTACGTTAGGCTTAACATCAATGAAAATTCAATGCAAAGTGACACACAATGGAGAAAAGTTTCAACATGGGATAGGTTAATATATTTTTTTGTACATAATCGGTTATCTGAAAAATAAGTTATCCGAACAACTCATTCCCAATTGATTCGAATAAATGACGCTCTACTGTACTATAAACTCCATTATTATTTTAAAATTGAAAAGATTAAAAGTAAAATGTAAACATTTAAATAAAAAAAAGAGATATACTTGTATTTTAAATGTATTTGCTAAAATCATAGTGTGAAGTATTCAAAATGGTTTAAACAAGCCTTAATTGTATGACTGATGAAAATAAATGTAAAAAGGAAATGTACCAAATGTAGTTTAAAAACAAATTAATTTTATGTCACCAATGTATAGCCGTGTTTTTTACAAAAATTTATAGGTTTTATGTATAATAATAATAATAATAATCTAACTGAAGAGGAAACCCAATTTTCAAAATGCATTTTAGTTAATTTTGTAATAATCATAAATTTTAAATGGTAGAGTCTTTATGATAACCAAAGTCTAATAAATTGTTTCAAATATTTGATTGCTGTGTATGATAAGCCCTAATATATGAATTACAACAGTCTTTGTTTATGTAAAAAACAATTGTTAAATAATATTAATGTAAGGGCAAGAAGCAGTTACTAAAAATTTTATTTTACTCTAAACTTTTGGGCTTCCATTTTAACATCAGGTTTTCTATATTACTGGTAATAAATTAAATTTTTGTCCTAAGTTAAAATTAATACTATATTTTTAAACTTAAAAAGCTTGAAGTTTGTGTATTCTTAAATTACATCACAAAAATTTTAAAGATCAAAGAACTGAACTGAAGAAAGTTGCTGAATAAGAAATAATCATGTTATATGTCATATCATATTTTATATGTTGCATATTTGAAAATAATCTTTAAAATAGAATTCATAAGATGACAGTATAAACTTTTACTGTTAATGCAAATTACTTACTTAAATGGATATTCAAATTTGTAATGATATGTTTTCCTCCAGCCTGTACATATAACCTCAAATGTTGTAGTTGCATCAAAACCAGATGTGGTGGCAAAAGCAAATATTGACATCAGCTAAAAAAAAAAAAAAAATACATTTTACTTTCAGTTATAATAAAACTATAAATTCATAATAAATGATATAATTTTCATTTAAACTTTCAATACTTTTTATAGTAATTTTTATATTTATAATGTTTTTTTAATACAAATATACTTGATTTTAACAGAAATTATCACAAAAAAATTTAAAAGCAAATAATATTTAATAGGTATTTATTAATCTCTTATTTGTTCTACTTCAAGACACTACAGTACTAATTTGAGGTGAAGAATATACTGTATATTTTAAATTAAATAAATTAAAAATATGATTAAAAATTGCAGCCTGGCATTATGATGATGTCACAATAAAGAATTGCTCATTGATTTTAAAAATGTTCATTTTTAAAATTTATGTTTCTGGATGATTTTATCCAGGAATGTATTAGATCTTAATCTTAACTTTATAAGCCAAAACATCATTACTCAAACAATGTGTTGAACACAAAGCTATTTTCATTTCGAAATCTTTATATATTTCTATATTAGAACCATGTAACAAGTCTACTTTAGAAATCCAAGGCATATGGATCACAGTACAGTGGTACCTCAGGATATGAACGCCCCAGAATACGAAATTTTCAGGATACGACATGAAATTCGAACATATTTTTGCTCCACGATACAAACAAAAACTCACCATATGACGTTACATTAGTTCGCAGCGCCATTTTTTATTCACTTCTGTTCATTGATCTCAGTCCGTGTGTTTGCTTCGTTGTGGAAGGATCTCGCTCGATAAAGGATATCTTGAGGTATTATAAGAAAGTGACTGATTTTATTGAAAAGAAACATCCCAAAAAGGTTCACACTGGCCGTATTGCTGCTCAGAGTAATGACATTTGCCTAAATCATTTTAGAAAGTAGGCAAAGCTAAACCTCTTTGGATAGATATTTTACCAAGCAACCTCTAGCCAGTGAAACTGCTGGTGAAAGTGAAGGAAAGAAAGCAAAAAGCAGCAAATAAAAAATTTTAAAAAAATATTTAAAACAGAAAAGATAAAAAAATTAGTGTTAAGTTATTTTTAAGTTATTGTTACATTATGTTACGTAAGTTAAGTTTTAGTATTATTTCCCTTCTCCCTCTCCTCCGCCACCAGTTTACACCTCTACCATTGTCTATCCTCAAAGGTAAAGTGCAAATAAAACTACATTTTTTTATCAATTATTATTCTATTATGGTTATTTATACATTTACAACTACAAAATGCATTTTTCAGTGTTTTCTTTACTATAGTTATTTTTTTTTTTTTTGTACANGTATATTTTAAATTAAATAAATTAAAAATATGATTAAAAATTGCAGCCTGGCATTATGATGATGTCACAATAAAGAATTGCTCATTGATTTTAAAAATGTTCATTTTTAAAATTTATGTTTCTGGATGATTTTATCCAGGAATGTATTAGATCTTAATCTTAACTTTATAAGCCAAAACATCATTACTCAAACAATGTGTTGAACACAAAGCTATTTTCATTTCGAAATCTTTATATATTTCTATATTAGAACCATGTAACAAGTCTACTTTAGAAATCCAAGGCATATGGATCACAGTACAGTGGTACCTCAGGATATGAACGCCCCAGAATACGAAATTTTCAGGATACGACATGAAATTCGAACATATTTTTGCTCCACGATACAAACAAAAACTCACCATATGACGTTACATTAGTTCGCAGCGCCATTTTTTATTCACTTCTGTTCATTGATCTCAGTCCGTGTGTTTGCTTCGTTGTGGAAGGATCTCGCTCGATAAAGGATATCTTGAGGTATTATAAGAAAGTGACTGATTTTATTGAAAAGAAACATCCCAAAAAGGTTCACACTGGCCGTATTGCTGCTCAGAGTAATGACATTTGCCTAAATCATTTTAGAAAGTAGGCAAAGCTAAACCTCTTTGGATAGATATTTTACCAAGCAACCTCTAGCCAGTGAAACTGCTGGTGAAAGTGAAGGAAAGAAAGCAAAAAGCAGCAAATAAAAAATTTTAAAAAAATATTTAAAACAGAAAAGATAAAAAAATTAGTGTTAAGTTATTTTTAAGTTATTGTTANGACACTCTCTACAAACAGGCAGTAGTGCGAGATTTGCGCATGCATTGCTCATTGGGAAGTTGGAAATACGAATATTGTGAAATTGAATTTTGACAAACATGTGCATTGTGAAGTTCAAAAAGCAAATGTTGCTAAATCGAATTTTGACAAACGAATCTTTGAAAATGACCCATTTACCTGTCTTGTGTTATTCCCCACACATTTCTGGTCACCACGTGCTGACCTTGACCGTTTGACCGAAGATGTCTTGTTTCATCATCAAAACGTTTTTGAAACTAGATGACACATCATTATAATTTTATATTAAAACCTACTTCCGAAATATAATTTGTTTTCAAAATTATTCTTTTTATCACTATATCAGTGTATTTCTATTAATAGGACTTATCATACTGGTGTACAAGATTGCAGACTCACAGTTACACAGATTAAAATTGTTTTATTTTCAATTACCTGGAACTNATTTTACAACAAATCAACAGAAAAAAAATCAATATGCAGTAATGTAATACAGTCATTTCTAGTATAAACATTGGTTCTTTATACCATTCGGTGGTTCCATTTTTACATAGTAAATTATACAGAATCTGATGACAGATGATTCTGTGTTTGCCGGTAACTCTTTGGCATCTACTTCACTATCAAGGACTGATTGCATTCTCAGATGATCTGATTTGTAGTCACTGTCAGAAAGAAAATTGTCGTCACTGGAGAAATTGTCATCTTTCTCCAAAGGTTCTGAAGATAAATTCTTATAAAAAACAGGATAATGATATAAGTCATTTTATATTTATTGAAATAAATTACTTAAATAATAAAAAATTTTAGATTTTATAAACAAAAATGAAAAGCTTGGTACTTTACTTGCTGAATCCTGAATCACGTGGAGTTAAAAACACTCAGATACACTTAAGCACCTGCTCAAGCTATAAAATCATACTCCACAATCATTTGCTATTGCAACACAAACAGCAACATCTTAACTCCAGCTGCTTAAAATTTCGGATGACTTATGTCTATTTTGAAATTTATACAGCAATTTCAAAAACACTGGGGTTAATTTAACTATTGAATCATCAAAGAACAGGTTGCTTGCTAAACAAGTGATCAGTAGGAAAAATTTTAGCTGTTTGCTGTATGAACCCAAACCAATTAGAGATGCAGTACAAAGAGTTTGCCACCAAAGGTATAAGAAGCAACAAGAAGAGCATAAAGATTGTGTAGTACTGTTAATGGAAAAAGAAGAACAGAGTAGTTGTGAAATAACATTAACTACTGTGTAAATTAGGTAATAAATGGTTTTTTAAATTTGTATTATAGTATCTGTAATTATAACAGCATGAATGTACTATGATAAAGTATTTATAATTACATTTTAATCATGAATTTTTCTGTGTAAATAATCTGGGGTTTTTCCCATCCAGACCCAGGTTTTTTCATATGTTGTGAGTGGCAACTCTGTACGTGAGCATTGAAGTGATCCCGCTTAGCAGTGAGTCTCCGAGACATAGTCTTGTCACAAATACGGCTTTGCCGTTTTACTTGTTTTATTTTTATTCCTAATTTTTCTTAATTTATTATGGGTTATTTTTATTATTCTTTTATCTGCTTTTCTTTTAAAATCATTATATCACCAATATTTTCATTTATATTTACTTTTGAATTTTAATATTTGCAAATTTAAATACGCATTCCTTTTTCCCCATCAAATGAATATTCTAACAGTATTTTTAGAATAACATTCTATGTTGCCTGAAGACTATGTGAATGTGATAAAAATTAGCAAGTGTTTTTGACATCACTAAATTGCTAATTTTACTACCATTAATTTTACTACCAACTTTCGTGATTGTGGCTCGATTTCTTCTGGGTGCATACATTTTTTTGTGACAGAGTGTATTTTGCACTTTTGTTTTAATTTTTATACTAGTTCATTAACTCCTGCCCTCAAATTGTGTGCATGAAGAGTAATTGTGAGAAGTTCAGAAAAAATTAAAACATCTCAAAAACAAATTTTATCAATATTAGATTATTAGTTCTCTCAAATTTATAATTTTGCCTAACTAACATAGCATTTTTAAAATTGAAAAATGTTTTAAAATTTCAATATGCCAATTGATGTTATTCTAGGGGATCAGCCTCTAGTTTAAAATCAATTGGAATATTAAAATTTTAAAATATTTTGCATTATATCACTGTATTTTTATACTACTATAAATTATATCATTTGTACTAAAAATACAAATGATATATTTTTAAATTCTAAAGTTTTCAGTCTTCTTAGACCAGTACGAAGTTTATTAAAAAAAATAACCAAACTTTATTTTTTTAATTTTTATTTTTCAAGTTACAGATTATTGGTCCTTGACCCCATCAAACTACTACCCTCCCCTATTCACACACTTATCCCAGAAATGTTTCCACTTTGCAAAGCAGTCCTGGTAAGCTTGTTTCAGACTGTCCTTCAATGCTTGTGATGAATTTGTTTTAATGTCATCAATTGTGTCAAAAGGTGTCCTTTTCAGCACTAATTTTAATTTTGGAAACAAGAAAAAAACTGCAAGGAGCCAGGTCTGGTGAGTAGAGAGACTGGGGAAGACAGTCATTTGATTTTTGGCACAAAATTGGCAAATTGACGAGGCTGAATGAGCAGGTGCATTGTCATGGTGAAGGAACAGTAAGTTGTCTTTGTCACAACTCTGGTCTCTTTTTGAAAATTTGTTCATACAGTTATTTCAAAACACCTGTGTAGTACTGATGGTTGACTGTTTGACCTTGAGGCAAAAATTCTAAGTGCAAAACTCTGATTTTCTGAGTGTGCATGTCATCAGTTGAGGTCAAAGGCTTTCCTGATCTAGGGTCATCTTCAATTGACGACCACTTTTGAATAGGGTAAATCATAACACTAGGCACGACCTAGTGCATTGTCTTCCTTAAGCTTGATTCAACTTTTGAATCAAGCTTAAGGAATCAACTTGTTAATTCCTTACATCAAGAACCGAGTCAAAATTTGATTTCACAATATTTGTATTTCCAACTTCCCAACGAACAATGCATGCACAAATCTCGCACTACTGCCTGTTTGTAGAGAGTGTCGCCATTTTGTATTTTATTTTGACTCGGTTCTCGATGTAAGGAATGCATAACCAAATTGTTTGATTATGCATTTAATAATTGTTAAAAGATTAACAAAGTCTAATGCTGCAAATTTCAACAAGGAAGTTAATGAATTTTTATCAAATTCTAACTTCCCTTCTTCAATGATACATCTTCCTCAGATCACTACTCATTCAAGGAAGTGTTGTTTAAAATAATTTAAAGTTATTACATTGGACATTTGTTAGGAACCACAGAGATGACTAAATTTGGTCAGATGCCAATGCTAATGATGAAAGAAAAGTTGAATCAAGCTTAATGTAAAGGTTTTCCCTAGTTTTATGCAAAACTTCATGTTGCATTGTTTCGCCTGTAAATTGCACATAGTAAAAATCGCCACAAACACTGAAACAGCTTTCACTCAAATAACAACAACACAAGAACAAAACAAGATATCAACAATTCGAAAAAAGCAGTTTACTCAGTAGATTATCATGAACACATTGTTGTCAACTTCATTACACTAGGACACACTGTCTTTGTCCAATTCAAACAGTTCAGTTATTTTTTTGACTAGACCTTGTATTTCTGAAAATTCTGACATTGTATTTCTGATACATTAGTATTTTTAAATTTCCATAAGAGTACTTAGAACCTCTTATTAAAAAAAAAATTGTATTTCATTATAAACATCTGTAAGTATTTTTATTTGAATTTAAGTGTACATAAACAAAATAATTGTTTAAATTTATATTTAATAAAACAAAATTAATAAATTAAACATACAAAGTTCAGAATATAAATCTCAAAGTTTAACAGTAAATCATCAGAATGAATCTCTCATTTTAGAATTTTGACTAAGTAAAGTATTGTACAAATGATTCAATAACTTGTCAAATATTGATACATATCAAAATAATTAAAAAAATATGTAATTTTCCTGTCTTATCTTATTTAATATGGTAGAAAATGCTCCCATCAAGCTTCTTTCTAACCAATGTAACTGGTAGATATGTCTACCAGTTACATTGGTGAACTATTTGACCCAGTGAGATATTTGACCATTTTTTCATTTATGTAATAGACAGATGGCATATTTTCTTTGATCTATCACAAACCACTGCTTCTACCAAGTACAAAAACAAAACAATTGAAAATATAGAAAATACTGTATGCATGGTTGTCATAAATAGACATGGTTAGCTGCTGTGCTTAGATATGGTACCTTGGCTAGCACAGCTTCCAACTAGATCATGTGAAAGAAAACTATCACTTGTAACAGGCTCTTCAGTCCATTTATGAAATGTGGAACACATTCAGTTTAGTTATGTGCCGGATCATTAAAAATGTATATCTGCAGATATGGATACTGATACGGATCATTAGTGTCTAGATCTATGGATACGGATCACAACTTTCGTACTCAGTTGGCACCGTACATGTGACCTTGGACCGATAGTTGACGCTTTGCGTTAGTAACGCAACGTGTTTTGACTTGCACTCTGCATGTTTTTGTTTATAGTTTAGTGTGACACGGGATAGCATAGATTACATTTGTGTTTTTGGAGAGTGTTGAGTTAAATTAAAATAAAAACAATGTCGACAAAGAAGTTTAGTAGTGTAATATGGAAATATTTTACGATAGTAAATGATTTTTGCAATATGAATGTGCCAAATATGTGTTTTTAAAAAATAAAAAGTGATTTGAATTGAAGTTATTAGTATTTTATTGCTACCTATCTTTAAAATTTCATATAAGAAATGAAATTCATTAAGATAAAAGATCTGTTAAAGATCTGCTAAAAGTAATGAATATGGATACGAATTTTTTTTTCCCTCGGATATCCACGGATATGGATACACAGCACATCACTAATTCAGTTTGTAGCAATGATATCTATTATATTTGAAAAAGTGTGAATGTATGATGTGAGACATCTTAATAATCACTGTTAATTTATTACTCTGCAGTCAATTAATTACTCTGCAGTCAATCATTTTCCAAGTACATTAGCTGAACTCTAAAACATATAGCTGTAATCTAACATATTCTTGTTATATAACCTGTTTTACATGTAATATGCTTGTAAACATTCTACTCCTAACTTCGGTGGTGCTCTGCAGAGCCGAGGCCGTCTTCGGAAATAAAGATTTATACAAAGTGAAGTGTTAATTTGTTAACTAAGCACGCAAGCACAATAATAAAAGTATTTTCATATTGTATTTATAAACTCTTCAGAAGTTCATATAGCTACTAACTTAAAATATTTGATTTTATTTAAATGAACAGAACTATAATGATGATTTAAATTTAGGCAAAAGGGTAGTGAATTAATCAGTATTAAGTTTAAAAATGTTATTATTTCATAAAACCAACACAGAATAAAAGGAAAGTCTAAAACTTTATTTTAACTTCATTTAAAACACACATATAAATTCACCCCATGTTCCACCTTAGCTACAACTAAAATAAAAATCTAAAAATATCAAAGATTTCTTACAAAATTTCTATATGTTTAAAAGTACTAAACTGAGCATGCAGGCAGCTAGCTTATTGCAGTTTTGGTGTTACAATTGTGTCTGCTTTTCCTTTCAAAAACTGACTTTCTTCTTTTTCCTTTCTGTTTACAAATAGTTTTTCTGTTTCCTGTTATGTCTGAACAGAGAAATTATTTGTAAACAGAAAGAAAAACATTTTTCTAATTTAGGGTATCAAGTTTTTTTTATTCATTTTTTTTAAAACCTTATTGTGTATGTTGATTTATGGAATACTATTCTTTTGTCTTAATGATTTAGATTCTAAATGATATACATGTATAGATATAATATTAAAAATATTTGACCATTATTTTGTCTTATTGATGGTTGTTATACATTTACTTTAATTTCAAAAAGTATCTGATCTGTAATCATTCATATTTCTTAAAGAATTATGTTTAAACAGTCATGATAACTAACTTGTAACTGATGAATAATTACACAGTTTATTCAATGAATATAGTAAAACATGACATAACCACCAATTTATTTTTGTAAATAGTCAGAAATTCAAAAAATAACAAAATAGATGAAGTAAATGACTTACAAGTTGAATAACTCTAATGAATCCTCGAGGCTCAATCAATACTCGCAAATTCAGATCCATGTTACTAGAAGAATAATATGAAATATTTTATCAGTATAGAATTTTAAATTATAATATTTAAATTCACTTACAATAAAAACTTAAATTTCATGTTAATAATCAAATACACCTCAGAAGCTGAAACAATATATAATAAAATAATTTATGCATCTCACTCTTTTTCAAGTAGGTAGTTTCTCTTTTCTCATTAAAAAAACAACCAATAAAATTTTTAAAAATTTAATTGTTTTTTAACTGATTTAAATTGTCAAACATCTGGAAACTGAACCAAACTTTTACTTGAAGAGAGCCACTAAAGTGGCTGAAAATGTTAGTTTTCTCCTAGAAACTACTTGCTGGAAAAGAATGAGAAGCACAAGTTATTTTATTTCATATTAATATTTAATAAGGAATTGTCCATAAATTACATAACATTATTTTTATACTTTTTAACTACCATCCTACTCCTGTAAAGCTCCATAATGCAATTGAACATAGCCACTCCAAAATTACAAATGCAGATCTTCCATGCTACCAGAGTTTCCAGACAAGATTGTCCTTTATAACAGATATGTAAATGAAATTCTCATTCTGTGGTGTGGTGAACCAGATATTGAAAGTTTTTAAGAACAATTAATAACCTATACAAACTATAATTCAAACTGAAGAAAAGAGCCATAAAAAAGGGCATTTTCTAGACTTGTCAATAACACTTGAGAACAGTTATGTTACCACAGAAGTATACAATCAATCAGACCACCATCCTTTCTACATCCCAAAAGTATCATGTGATTCCTTCATATTTAAGATCTCTGCATTCACAGTCATACTAAGACTTGCATTCATACATTTTCTGACTTAACCAAAACCTACCAGAAATTAAGGTACATTAAAAGATAAAGGCAGAGAACATGACGAAGATGAATCACACTCTGGTATACCATCCAGTTAAACTGATAAACAACACAACTGATAAACACCAAATCTCTGACATCAAGTCAGAGATTTGGTGCTCAATAATTGTTGTGTAATAGAAATATTATTAAATTTGTTCCAGTATCATTTGGATCTTGCCAAGCAATTTTAAAAGATTTGGGCTTGCAATGTGTCACTTCTCAAGTACAGTACAATAGACCCTCCTATGACATGGGTCCATATAACACGAATTGGTATAACATGGCGAAAAAATTATGATCGTTTTTGTGTTCATATAATTGTATAACAAGCTAAAAGAGACTCGTATAACACAGTAAAATGTCATCGCCAACTTGTGTCGCGACAGGATTGGTAAAATCTGGACCAATAGCGGACATTGCACAAACCATTGAGTTTAAACGAGCAGCGGACCTACTAAAAACCATTTATTATTTAACGGCCATAAAAATTATATTTATATTAATGATGTCTCCAAAGTTCAGTGAATTTTTCGCAGAAAAATAACTTATCAGGAAACATGCGCCCACCGTTCGATGAGCTGTTCCGCGACGAAAACAAGATTAAGCAATGCCGTCTTTGAATGGTACGCACTTGGTAAGTAATCCTTCAATTTTTTGTTTATAGCATAGTTTATATGCATTATTCCCAAAAATTATATGTGATTTGGAAATGTTGAGTCAAATTAGTCTAGTATCGATTAATTTTATGGAAGAAAACCTTTCAAACAGCCGTAGCCACTAAACTGCACAAACTGTTAACAGAGAATATTATTTGAATATGTTGCTTTGTCTGAGTGAAGCAATTCATAGAAAACCTGGCTTGTGGCCTGAAAACGCATGGATTTTTCACCATGATAATGCACCTGCACACAATGCTCTTGTTGTTCATGAATTTTTGGCCAAAAATTCAACAAATATGGTTAAGCAAGCTCTGCATTCACCTAATATGACACTGTGACTTTTTCCTGTTTTCTTAACTAAAATTCTTTCTTAGTAGTCACTGTTTTGAGTCAACTGATGCCATAAAACAAAATTCACTGTAAGTCCTGAAAGGGTTTCACAAAAATGACTTTAAAGCATGTTTAGAGGATTGAAAAACATTGGCATAAATGCATTGCAGCGGGAAGTGATTACTCTGAAGGGGACAAAATAAATTTTTAAGAATAAATTCAAATCTTGCATTTTATTGAATCATTCTTGTACTTTTTGATCACAGGGTACATGTCATTGTTGTACATCTTAGTGACATGACTACAAAGCTAAAAAAGAAAAATCACTATGCTAAGCACAATGCATCAAGATGCAACTATTGAACTAGACAAGAAAAAGAAACCTGAAATTGTAATAATGTACAATTAAATCAAAAGTTAATTTAAACTTAAAACATCAACTAGGATTTATCTATTATTAGGACTTATAATACTGGATAACTGGTTCTGCAAATTAAGTAAACAAAGTCAGAAAAACAGTCTTTATTTATCACAGTCCTAGTTGGTGTTTTAAGTTTAAATTAATAAATTAAGGACACAAAGGCATTTAAATTTGAAATCAAAAGTGTTAATACTACAGATGAAATGGTACAGCAGTATGCATGTAAAAACAAACAAAACACTAGCATATTGTTATGTTTTACAATAGTCTTGACATTACAGTGCTCAATGCATAGATATTATACACATTGCTGAATCATACATACAATGCAAACTGTTACAAAAGACAGCTGTTCTCAAAAGTTTTATGCAAGAAATTGATAAAACCCAACAAGAGATGATGGATGATATTTTACAATCAGAAATCTCCACAAGTCACAAGCAATAATGTAGTATTAAGGTGACCAATCGTCCTCCTTTAGAGAGGACAGTCCTTCTTTTTTAAGTTCTGTCCTCCCTCAAAAAGTGCCCTCCTTTTCAATATTTGAAGACTAATCTGTAAATCTCCATATTCAATCGATGCCAAGCCAATCCGTGGTATGTGATGTGTTTGTATTTAATGTGATGATTCATCAAGGCTTGGTACAGTGCGACAAGAAGTGATTATGAGACGCATGCGCTCCGCACAAAAGACTGAAAGAGCACACCATGTGGAAGTGGCTTTGTTTACTTCTTAATGAAATATTACACGGCACATAAACATGCAGTAGATATTATTATAGTGTATTATTGTTGCAATGAATAAAATGTTTCTTTTATTACGATATTTTTTTCTTCAATTTATTTGTGTCCTCCTTTTCATTGTAAAATAGTTGATCACCTTAGTAGTACGGAATGACAGTTGCTGTGAAAGAAACTAACATAAGCAAAAACAGAAAGGAGGTTTTATCTGATATTCAAAGATAGAAAAATGGAAAGATTTTGTAACATTCAAAAAAAATAATAACTTGCAAAAGTTGTCAACTTTAAATGCAAATTTAAAAATTTTAATGTATAACTGAGACCAGTAATATATCAAATATTTCAAAAAAATTAGTATTCTGTTCATTAAACTGTCTTAAACTGATGATAAAAAAATAATAAAATTTACTTTAATTTTTGGTAAAAACAAAGCAATAAATAATAGTACAGAAATTATATTAGAGCTTATGAAAATTTAAAATTAAACACTCATGCTTGCACAGTTAATTTTTTCAGATTTTATCATGATTATTGGACAAAGGAAGTTAGTCATAAAATTAATAAATGATATTTATTTTTACACTTAATTTACATAATTGGGACAGTTCACAAACATCTGAAATGAAATTACAGGGATGGACAGTGAGTAGAAGGGTGAATGGATTTCTACATTAGAGTTCAAAAAATGAAGCAAAAAGATAATGTCATCTTTAGTTTCAATTTTGTTAATTGTTATTCTGAATTAAATTTAGTAATCATTAAATAAAACTATAAATTTAATTAAAAAGTTATTGTAATTATTAGTTAACTTAATTTTAGTATAAGATAACAATCTAACCACCTACTGCGCCTTTAAAAAATAATTATTTTACATTAATTATTAATAGTTAGTCAAACTACAATCCAAAAATAATATGTTTACTGTATAATATTCAGGCTTGGTTATTTTTGTGTATCTACAATGAGTTAACAGAAATGAAACAGAACAAGCAATATTTTAATGCTTTAGATGGTAACTTTTAAATGCATACCAGTAATTATCTTGCTTTCAACAACTGCCCTGGAAGCATGGGGTATATAGTGGGGCAGGTTATACAAAAGTTTTAATTTCATTCTTGTAAATTCTGCAAGATATACACTGTCACAGGTTATGCACGACTACAGAATATCTGTACAAAATTTAGAAGTGGTATTTTATTGAACAAATGTGTTCTTTTACTACGTTTTCTAATTTTCTTCCATCTTCTAGTTTCACCTATATAAATTTTATTATTCTCATGTGCATATCAATTCATAAACAGCCTTTTTGTATTTAATATTTGCATGTGTCCATAATTTTATTTTTGAATGAAATTTATATTATTATAATAATTATTACAATATAGCATTAATATCAGATTGTATTTCAAAAATTTAATTAAAAAATTACAAAAAATAATTTGAAAAGCAATATAATGTATATATTTATTTTTTTTACTTTTTCACTATTGTTATTGTATTGGATTGATGCAGAAAATTTCTGGTATTTTCTAGAATTTTATAGTACAACGTTTCAAAAACAAAAAATAGTTTATCCAAGAAAATAATTGCCATTACATTCAAGCAGCACCTTCTTCCATCAATTGGGCAAGTCAAGGATTTTGCTGAATAAAACTCAGATTGTTTTGACTTGAACTCCACAAGTGCAATTTTCATCTCATCATCAGCAAACTGCTTTTCACTCAAAGTGTTCTATGGAGTAAAGAGATAGTAGTTGAATGGTGTAATGTCTGGAGATGAGGTAGAATCTCCTGTGAGAAGTAGGGTCATTATTTTTTATAATAAAAAGCATTATGTACATTAATAATTATGTACTGTAAGAATTATGTACTTTAATGTATATCAAATATTCTGAAGCCTGATGAATATATATAGATAAATAACCAAACAATTGCCCTAAATATCATTAAATAGCAGATTTATAGCGTGATTATTTAAGGCAATTGTTTGATTATGCATTTAATAATTGTTAAAAGATTAACAAAGTCTAATGTTGCAAATTTCAACAAGGAAGTAAATGAATTTTTATCAAATTCCAACTTCCCTTCTTCAATGATACATCTTCCTAAGATCAATACTCATTCAGGGAAGTGTTGTTTAAAATAATTTAAAGTTATTACAACACAAGTGTACTCAGCAAAAAAACAAATCCAGTAATCAACACCTTATTAGTTGCTGAAGGAGTTTATTAAAAATGAACATTTTCAATCTACTCAATAGATCATCATCAAGTTAGAACATTCAAAAATGGAATACAACATAAAATGGAACATTACATTCAAAATTCAAAAACTGATAACATATCAACTAAAAAGAATAAAACTATATATGATACATAAAATGTAAAAATAAATAATATACTACTATAGCTAAACATTAATACAATCCATCATAACCAAATAGAAGTTACTAAGTTTCCTTTAAAGTAGTGTTTTTCAACTTTCTTGAATACGCGACCCCTTTACAAGTTAAAAAATTCTGCCGACCCCCAGGGCCGCCGTATTAAAACTATATCAGTGATTTTAAAAACTACGTATTTAATTTTTTTCTGTTGAGACCAAAATATTGATCAAAAACCAATTGTACTGTAAAATAAACAGGCACAGACTTCTCACTGAGATTGTAGTTATTTTTATTGTAGTGTAGAACCTAAAAACACTTGTTTTTTTCTTTTACCCACGATCCCCTGTGTAATACTTTGCGACCCCCCTGGGGGTTGTGATCCACAGGTTGAAAAACACTGCTTTAAAGCAATCAAGGATCATATTTCGGTTCACGAGCTACTTGTAAGCTTTTACTGGATTTGTTTTTTGCTGAGTACACTTTTGTTGTATGTTAACATGGTGACACCAGCTGAACCTTACAAGGAATACAGGAAGTTGATGTTAAAACTAGTTAAGGCTAATTTTAAGTTGGAATTTTTAAGAGAGTGTTTAAAAAAACAAAATTTTTCCCATGTCAATCTTTAGACTCTGCATCCCAAAAGAGTGCCTCTCGCTAAAACTACATTTTTGTTTGGCGTGCCTAAGGAAGTCTATTAAATTAACAAAAAATAAAAAGTATGGGATCCTGAATCACCTCATTGAACTTGAAAACAAGGTTTTTAATGAAAGTCCTGATAAGCTTATGAATATGAACTAGGAGTCATTCGTCTTATGTATAATGTTCATAAGAACTTAACAAAACGCTATATTAAGAAAATGAAGTGGATTATTGATTAGTAGGTTTTAAGAAAGATTGGGNCCACAGCACTAGTGAAAATTAAATTTGCTGACTGGAATTCTTTCGAATAAACGACGCTCTACTGTATTTTAAAGACTTAATTATTTCAAGATATATAATTATTTTAAGATTCACAATCATTTTAAATTTAAATTAATGTTAATAAATGCCTAATTTTATAAACTTTAAAAATTGTTATTATTCAAAAGACATGACGCCTGACCTAGAGGAAAAAATGAAGAGGACATGGTTGAGATTTTCTAGGTGGGAAGACTTTGAAGTAAGTGTGGTCTGTCCAAGTTTTCAGTCTGTGTATATTAAAGGTAAATAAATGTTTTGTTTTTGTTGTATCTAATTATTATTAATGAATTTAGTAATGTGGAGTAACAACAAACATATATATTTTATTCATTAGATATACTAAATATAAAAAAAAGAGTGTTTAACACTAATTTTAAATGAATAAACCAAATCATTTTCCCAAAAAATACTTTTACATAAAGCAGTATTGGAAAAAAAGTATTTGAACACTGTTCTAAATTTACGGATTTGAGCATACTAATTTGAGTAGAAGAATCCATTAGCTTTAAGAGGTATCTTAATATCATTTTCTATGTAAATAGTGATATTTACCTGTCTTTGCTTAAACAATGGTCCAGTCAAGGAATTTAATAATGGTGTGAGAAAAAAATGATGAATCTGCTACAAAATGTAAAAAAACTAAAAAGTAGCATTTGTGGGTATTAGTATGTCTTAGGAACTGTAAATTACACTTGGCAAAAGTTTAAAGTTACAGATATAAAACCAGCAAGGCTCAATATCACCCATTGAAAAAAAATGTTTAAAAAATTACCTTCCAAACAACCAAATGCAGAATGGAAGAAAAATAAAACAAATGTTTATGATAAAACAGTAAGAAATAGGCTGAATGACATGGGATTTTCATTTGCAAAGCCAAAGCAAAACCCTTTCTGACCAATGAAGAAGAAAAAAAAAATTCATTTAAAATGAAGACAACACAAAAATTAGACTGTAGAAGACTGGAAAAAGGTTATTTTCTCAGATGAGGGTCATATATGAATTGGGTGTGGTGATGTTGGAAGAAAATTCATTTGGAAAAGTGCAGATGAGAAATTTAAGGAAGATTGCCAGAACAGGAACACTAAGTTTCCAACAAGTTTAATGATTTGGGACTGTATGTCAGCTATTGAATCTGAAAATATGTACATTCTTAAACAGGCTATAACAGCAGAAGGGTATGAGGAAATTTTAAAATCTTTTCCGATTCCAACAATTGAAGATCACTTTGGTGATGCTGATAATGTTTTTCAGCAGGATAATGCCACATGCCATCAAGCCAAACTAAATAAAGAATTTTTAAAGTCCAAGGGCCTGCAAATAGCCCAGATTTAAACCCTATTGAAAATTTATAAACAAAGTTGAAAATGCTCATTGATAAAAGACTGCCAACTAATAAAGACAAACTTAAAGAAGCCATTAAAATTAGCTGAAGTAAAATAACTTCAACAAATTAATTTTTCTGGTGCCAAGATGCATAAAAGATGTAATAAGATCAAGAGGAGGATCAACAAAATATTAACTTCCATTATTTTGCATGTAATCCTTTTATTACTATTGTTATTCAAAAACTTTTTTTCAATACTGCTTTATGTATCATACAAATTATCTTTATGGGAAAATGGTTTGGTTTATTCATTTGAAATTAAAGTGATTAACGCTTCATAACCCAATGAACAAACTAGGTATTTTTTTTTTTTTTAATTATTTTCTCATAAAGTAAGTTCAAACTACATTTCATTTTCTTACATCATGTTCAAATATATTTTGCCAGTGGTTGTAGTATTGGACTGGGAATTTTTAGTAGTAACATTCTAAAGACATCTTTTACTTATTTTTGTCGTTCAAATCATCAGTTGTTTGGTTTTTAATTTTATCAATGTACATTTTAAAAATAATGTATTTCATATTTACTAGTGTATTCAATTAAAAATCTAATGTTTTTTCTATATTAGATAATGATTTTTTTATTTTCTTATAATTAAATTATCCTCTCAGGGACAATTCCCAGGGATAATGAGAACTCATTATGGTTACATCTAAATAATTAATATTTATTTATATTTCTTTTTCTATTTCAAATTTGATACCTTCATTGAGATGGAGTGTTAGCAAAGCCTCTTCTATGTGGCTTACAGAATTGTGTTTGTTCTCAAAATCTTTTTGATCAATTTTGATTAAACTTTTTCATTTTCCATTAATAGCGATGAGGAATCCAAAATGTAATGAGGGTCCATTTAAATGTAAAAAAATAGGAGTCCATGACTTCATTTTCAATTTACAGAGGTATTAATGTCCATGCTTTCTGATGCAACTTTTTAGATTATGTAAGAAATCAAATTTTTAAAATGTAATGCATAAATAATTTAATTAAATTCTAATATATTCAAATTTAAATTCAGACTGTATAATATTACCTTAGAGTAAAATTACTGTACAATTTAACATACAATACTAAAATAAATAGGATGATAAAAAATAACTTTACAAGGCCCACAAATTAAAAACCAAAACATTGTTGTGTGTAACTACAATGCAGTAGGCCTAATTAATAATGATTCAGATTGACAACCTCAGTGGTTACAATGATGCAGTATAGGACAGTTGTGATGTTACATGTTCAAATGATGACAAGGTTAAAAAAGTTGTCTCACAAAGAAATACAAGTAATCATTCAATTTTTGCAGGTCAAAAAGATTTCATCTGCTGAAATCCATTGTCAGTTCATTAAGGTATATTTGGACATTGTCATGTCCTATCATAGCGTTGCATAATGGTGTCAGAGGTTTGCAAGTAAATAGGAAAATATGAGTGAAGAAAGATTAGACTAGATTTGATAGTCATTTCAATGGGAGTTTCATCATCATTTCCCTTAAAGCTTGGATCTGATCTCTTATAATTTCTGCATTTGAAATACATGCATAGTTATCATTTCACTACTGATGAAAAAGCAAAAGCTATCATTGCTAGGTGGCTGCAGCAACAGGAACAAAAACTTTTTGTTGATGGGATGAAGTTCTTTATACATTACAATAAATATCTGAACAAACAAACAATGATTTTGTTAAGAAACAGAATACTATTTATAGATAAATCCTGTAAGTTATGTAATAAAAAGTATTTGTCTATATTATTAGCTTTGTAAAGTTATCTTTTGACCATCCTGCATTTGTTTTATATACATATTTGTTTTATATATTATATACATATATAAAACAAAAGTGTTAGATAACATATTAACAATATNTGATGATAAAAAAATAATAAAATTTACTTTAATTTTTGGTAAAAACAAAGCAATAAATAATAGTACAGAAATTATATTAGAGCTTATGAAAATTTAAAATTAAACACTCATGCTTGCACAGTTAATTTTTTCAGATTTTATCATGATTATTGGACAAAGGAAGTTAGTCATAAAATTAATAAATGATATTTATTTTTACACTTAATTTACATAATTGGGACAGTTCACAAACATCTGAAATGAAATTACAGGGATGGACAGTGAGTAGAAGGGTGAATGGATTTCTACATTAGAGTTCAAAAAATGAAGCAAAAAGATAATGTCATCTTTAGTTTCAATTTTGTTAATTGTTATTCTGAATTAAATTTAGTAATCATTAAATAAAACTATAAATTTAATTAAAAAGTTATTGTAATTATTAGTTAACTTAATTTTAGTATAAGATAACAATCTAACCACCTACTGCGCCTTTAAAAAATAATTATTTTACATTAATTATTAATAGTTAGTCAAACTACAATCCAAAAATAATATGTTTACTGTATAATATTCAGGCTTGGTTATTTTTGTGTATCTACAATGAGTTAACAGAAATGAAACAGAACAAGCAATATTTTAATGCTTTAGATGGTAACTTTTAAATGCATACCAGTAATTATCTTGCTTTCAACAACTGCCCTGGAAGCATGGGGTATATAGTGGGGCAGGTTATACAAAAGTTTTAATTTCATTCTTGTAAATTCTGCAAGATATACACTGTCACAGGTTATGCACGACTACAGAATATCTGTACAAAATTTAGAAGTGGTATTTTATTGAACAAATGTGTTCTTTTACTACGTTTTCTAATTTTCTTCCATCTTCTAGTTTCACCTATATAAATTTTATTATTCTCATGTGCATATCAATTCATAAACAGCCTTTTTGTATTTAATATTTGCATGTGTCCATAATTTTATTTTTGAATGAAATTTATATTATTATAATAATTATTACAATATAGCATTAATATCAGATTGTATTTCAAAAATTTAATTAAAAAATTACAAAAAATAATTTGAAAAGCAATATAATGTATATATTTATTTTTTTTACTTTTTCACTATTGTTATTGTATTGGATTGATGCAGAAAATTTCTGGTATTTTCTAGAATTTTATAGTACAACGTTTCAAAAACAAAAAATAGTTTATCCAAGAAAATAATTGCCATTACATTCAAGCAGCACCTTCTTCCATCAATTGGGCAAGTCAAGGATCTTGCTGAATAAAACTCAGATTGTTTTGACTTGAACTCCACAAGTGCAATTTTCATCTCATCATCAGCAAACTGCTTTTCACTCAAAGTGTTCTATGGAGTAAAGAGATAGTAGTTGAATGGTGTAATGTCTGGAGATGAGGTAGAATCTCCTGTGAGAAGTAGGGTCATTATTTTTTATAATAAAAAGCATTATGTACATTAATAATTATGTACTGTAAGAATTATGTACTTTAATGTATATCAAATATTCTGAAGCCTGATGAATATATATAGATAAATAACCAAACAATTGCCCTAAATATCATTAAATAGCAGATTTATAGCCTGATTATTTAAGGCAATTGTTTGATTATGCATTTAATAATTGTTAAAAGATTAACAAAGTCTAATGTTGCAAATTTCAACAAGGAAGTAAATGAATTTTTATCAAATTCCAACTTCCCTTCTTCAATGATACATCTTCCTAAGATCAATACTCATTCAGGGAAGTGTTGTTTAAAATAATTTAAAGTTATTACAACACAAGTGTACTCAGCAAAAAAACAAATCCAGTAATCAACACCTTATTAGTTGCTGAAGGAGTTTATTAAAAATGAACATTTTCAATCTACTCAATAGATCATCATCAAGTTAGAACATTCAAAAATGGAATACAACATAAAATGGAACATTACATTCAAAATTCAAAAACTGATAACATATCAACTAAAAAGAATAAAACTATATATGATACATAAAATGTAAAAATAAATAATATACTACTATAGCTAAACATTAATACAATCCATCATAACCAAATAGAAGTTACTAAGTTTCCTTTAAAGTAGTGTTTTTCAACTTTCTTGAATACGCGACCCCTTTACAAGTTAAAAAATTCTGCCGACCCCCAGGGCCGCCGTATTAAAACTATATCAGTGATTTTAAAAACTACGTATTTAATTTTTTTCTGTTGAGACCAAAATATTGATCAAAAACCAATTGTACTGTAAAATAAACAGGCACAGACTTCTCACTGAGATTGTAGTTATTTTTATTGTAGTGTAGAACCTAAAAACACTTGTTTTTTTCTTTTACCCACGATCCCCTGTGTAATACTTTGCGACCCCCCTGGGGGTTGTGACCCACAGGTTGAAAAACACTGCTTTAAAGCAATCAAGGATCATATTTCGGTTCACGAGCTACTTGTAAGCTTTTACTGGATTTGTTTTTTGCTGAGTACACTTTTGTTGTATGTTAACATGGTGACACCAGCTGAACCTTACAAGGAATACAGGAAGTTGATGTTAAAACTAGTTAAGGCTAATTTTAAGTTGGAATTTTTAAGAGAGTGTTTAAAAAAACAAAATTTTTCCCATGTCAATCTTTAGACTCTGCATCCCAAAAGAGTGCCTCTCGCTAAAACTACATTTTTGTTTGGCGTGCCTAAGGAAGTCTATTAAATTAACAAAAAATAAAAAGTATGGGATCCTGAATCACCTCATTGAACTTGAAAACAAGGTTTTTAATGAAAGTCCTGATAAGCTTATGAATATGAACTAGGAGTCATTCGTCTTATGTATAATGTTCATAAGAACTTAACAAAACGCTATATTAAGAAAATGAAGTGGATTATTGATTAGTAGGTTTTAAGAAAGATTGGGAGGAACATTACAACATACGTTGTTTGGGACAAAATTGAAGTACCGAATAGGGTAAAAGTGCTTATGAACAATGGCCTGAACTTCGTCCTGGAAAATGCAGGGAATTGGGAAATCTCCATCCAGGAGATCAAAAGAGGAATTGTTGGATTAGATCCGATAGAGAAGGATTATGTGCGTTGGAACTGTTTTAAAAAATCAAGAAAAGTGGAAAAAAAGAGGAAGCAGGAACAATGACATCCTATATACTAAGCGTTGGTTGAAAGCAAACAATTTAACTGTGGCAAGAGCTGATAAAAGTAAACAAATGGTTATAATGAAAAAGCAAACTTATGGTAAAGCCTTAGAAGAGTACATCAGAAAAATGGAATGTATTAAGACCAGCAATAAAATTGTTAAATCTATTGATAGAAGAGCCAAGAAACTGGAGGGTTCCAAGCTTGCAAAGGTTTTACCTTTTATCCAGAAATGCTGTAACCCCAGGCCTGGGATCCCTAGATTATTTGCCTTCACTAAAATGCATAAAGAGGGCAAGGAAATAAGGCCAATAGTTGAAAAACATAAAGCACCTACATTTTTCTTAGAAAGAAGGTTGCATGGATATATCTCCTCCCTACTGGAAGGTAGTATATTGGTTGCAAAGGATCCTGCAATGATGGTTAGAGAGCTGCAAGACGTTACTTTGATGGATGAGGAAGTGAGAACAATATTAGATTACGAGAGCTTGTACCCGTCCATTAAAATTGAATCTTGTTTGGAATCACTAATAGAGTTCTTGTTTAGAGAAAACCCAACATTGGCACATCACAGAAACGACGTTATAGAGATGGCTAACCTTGTATGTTGTGAATCCTTTTTCACTTTCAAAGGCCAAACTTATAAACAAAACAGGGAGTTCCAATGGGAAGCCCAATTTTGGGGCTTCTTATGGTTAGAAAAGTTGAAGAAAAAGTGGTGTGTAGCTTCAGAAATGACATTGTTTACTACAAGAGATATGTGGATGATATCTTTATAATATGGAGAAGCAATCAAGAAATTAGTAATTTCATAGAAAGAACCAACGAGAATGAAGATGGCCTCAACCTGAAGCTAGAGCAGAAAAGTTCCATAATGATATATTTGTTGGATATTAACATTGTCTTTAGGAAAGGGCATGTATCCACTAGTGTATTCACAAAACCAATGCATAGCCCATTCTATAACCTGGCAAAGTCCTATGACCCATATCGTTAT